GTATCCAAGTACAAATATTAGTCTTTAAATTATCCCTGTGGAGCCCCCTTGTATCCTAGGCCCAGTCTGTGCATGGGACCTTGACTTCTGCTAAAGTCAACATAAAGTGCCCCATCAATTATCTGAAGTGCAGATAATACGTGGTTTCTCCAGGTACCGCTATTCGTTTTTAAATTGTACTTGTGGAGCCTCCTTGCATCCTAGGTTCATACTGCATATGGACTATGACTTCTGCTAAAGTCAACAAAGTCCTGCCCTACCAACTATCTGAAGTGCAGATAGTGTGCGATACCTCCAAGTACCATACTAGTCTTCAAAGTGGCCCTGTGGCGCCCTTTCTATCCTTGGCCCAGGCTATAAAACATCAAGCATCTAGCATATAGCCCTGTGGAACCCTTTCTTGTCCTAGGCCTAGGATGTACAAGATCAAGCATCACCCCATCAATCTTCTGAAGTGCAGATACCTTGTGATAATTCCAGGTACCAGTATTAGCCTTCAAAGTGTCCCTGTGGAGTCGCCCGCCCAGGAGGTACTGTATATGGGACCTTGACTTCTGCCCTAGTCAAGGTGAAACCCTGCCCACATCATTTACTCCCAAATGTCAGAGTATCTACAGCCTACTAAAGTGGACAGGTGGTGGGGCTTAATGTAAAGAAGAGGCTGGGATTAATCCGAACCTAGAATTCAGGAGTCTCCACAGGGACACAGGTTTTACATTTGTGAATTAACACAGTTACTTACAGGCACCACAATGTCCAGCACTTCATGACTGCAGTGATCATTTTAAGCCAGTTCTAGGTTCCCTTTACAGTGTAAGTGACTACTGCAAGTTAACGATATAGCCAGAGATAGGCGTTTCCTACATAGTGCCCATTTTACACTGTTTGCATACCTTTTCACATTTATCAATCACTGGGATTAAAGTGTGTTTACTGTGCAGCTGGCAGTCATGGGGGAGGGAAGGGAGGGTCTCCCATCCTTTTTAACTCCCGAGAGCTATTTGACAGATGAAACCTACGCACCATGCCTGAGTACTTAGAATATCATTAGAAACCAGTCTTTAAGCCAACTGCTATGAAATGAAGGAAGATAATTTTGTTTTTTTTTCATGCAAGCTCAATCACAAGGTCCTGAGGTTCAGCAACTGGCCTAATTTAATGAACTCTTCAAAACAAACTCCTATGGCTTTGGTGCTTGGCGCTGTAGAGAGCCATGCATAGGAGAATATTGCGCTTTCCTCCGTTCCCTGCCTTGCTAAATTGAATTTCCCCCTTTCCCTGGCTTCATACTGACTTAACAGCATTATAATAGTCTTAGTCATGGGCAGCTTTATTTTGTGAGTCTGGGCCATTAACCAGCTGCTGCAGATAAAACAGTGTGTCATATTATACAGCCATTAATGTCAAATGTGATTACACAGCCAAGATAGGAAGAGGATAGGGATGGAGCCTAATGTAGGCTTCTGAAGAACAAGGCCTGAGTTCATTACTAACGCCGCATGATTCAACATATCTATATTGGTTTTGCCACTGTAGCACTTAAACAGAGAAGCGATTTGTATCATCAGAATCCCCATGAAATCGAATAGTCCAATAATGGAGTTTTTAACCCACCTTTAGCCAAGAGGATCAGCAACACAATATAAAGACAAAGACAGCGTCCTTGCAGAAATGAGTAACATTTATCTAGTAGCATCCCCTTATCACTTATGATGAATACGCTGAGAATACATTTTATGGCTCTACATGTTTTAAAAAGCATAGATGATACATGTGAAACACGTCTGCACCCTGGAAAAACTGCTCGAGTAGGTAAACCCTATTATATATTGGCACCAGTAGGCTGCTACCCTCATGCAGACAGGCGATTTCTGCGGTCACCATGTATTGGTGTACAGTACAGGGATTGACAGACCTGAATGTCGGGAGTACTAACGTCCTCTGTCTAATGTAAATTGTATTTTGGTTTAATTTTACACTATGACTTCTCAAGCAGGGTGACCTTCCCCTGGGCTCAGCTTGGCTCTTGATCAAGGGTCATCTCATAACCGTTTGTAACCCAATTATTTATTTAAGGTTTACGTAAACCCATAACAATAAACTTATTTTATTTTGATCTATTAAATATTGCAGTAAAAGTGTTTTTTTTTGCAAAATACCTGTTGATCTTGGCAGAAATCTAGTGAGTTGATAAATTCCTGTGTCGCACACTCTTATTAATAAGCACTGTTCCCAGGTTACCTTTATAAACTACAGAACCCCTACATGTTATGGAGAGGAGGAGGTTTTCTGTTGTCCTAACACTCTCCCTGTCCTAGGGTGATATAGATACAGTACAGGGAGTGAGCATTGTCACCCTAGGACAGGAAGTGTGTTTTTGGCTAGATCACCATGTCAATATAAAAACCAAACAAACTAATCCAATCACCACACATGAGGTCTGGTCAGATGAAATATATGACATTTTTGTTCATGGGTTTAGAAGATGATTTCCTTTCATTTACAGTTCTGGTAACAGGGGGACACAGGAAGTGATGGGAAATCTCTGGAATGGGGACACGATCAGCAACAAAAATACTTTTAGGGGAAAGTGTTAGAGCCTCTTTTGGATTACTTTTGTTGCTATCTGTGTCTTCCTGTCTTGGTAACCTCATTCCTGTCTGTGGGTTGAAATCTACCCAAAGAGTCTCACTTTTGTCTATTTGTATTGCATGTCAAGCTGAATGAAAATGTAGCATTTAGCATCCTTTTATTTTTTACTATTTGTGTGATTAACAGTACTGTGCCCTGTGCTGGCAGCATGCTGAAAAGCCGGACCTCTGCTCTGACACAGAGCTAAATGGTCTGACACTTTCCTGTCCTCAGTACTTAATTTAAAGTGACACTTAACTCAGGAGTTAAACCTAAAAAACGAATTCAAGTACCCTAACTACTAACACAAATGTATCTTATTTGTGTATCACTCAGCTCAGATCCTCAAATCATCTCTGAATTGGTGCCGACACTGTCCTTCCTTCTGGAGGGGGGCTACTTTTGTTTCCCATGGCCCCTGTGTGTTCACAAGCTCGCTCTCGTGATAGAATATAATTTCAATACAAATGAGACTATAATTTCAATACAAATGAGTTAACAATGTCAGATTGTAATTCATGCCGGGAGCGAGCTTGGAGCGGTGGCTACTTTACAACACACAGGGACCATAGGGAGCAAAGGTAGCCACCCTCCAGATGGAAGGACAGTGTCAGCACCAATTCACAGATGATTTGAGGATCTACAGCCGAATGATGCACAAATAAGATACATTTTGGTTAATAGGGGACTTGAATGCATTTTTAAGATTTAACTCCTGAGTTTAGTGTCACTTTAACAATTCTTGAACTACCTGAGTAGAGTTGTTAATTGGAGTACAAAGGTGTGAGAGCAGAGTTCTGGTTCTCCAGCATGCTGCAACACAGGGCAGCTCAGTACAGTTAAGCATACATACATAGTAAAACAAAAGTAAAGAATATTTCATTGTGCAGCCAGACTACATAACAAGTAAAAAGGCGAAGCTTCAATTGGGCCGCAAAGATGTCTCGCCTAATTATTTTTCACAGATCAGTCATATAAGCCATAGTATACTATATGTTGCATTTTTTTCTCATACTGTTGTGTGTAGCAGAAGCTGAAATCCAGATGAGGGATATGTGGGTTTACTTTCCACTAGCAAACATAAAACATGGTGGAAGGTGGGTGTGTGAGTGTGTGTGGTGTTAGTGGTGGGTAAGTATGAGTGTGGTATGAACAGTAAATTGTGAACTTCTTCAAAGGACAGGAATTGACGTGAATAGATCTATGTATCCTGTAAAGTCTTATGCAATATGTTAATGCTGTATCAATATGGGACATAGATGTAAAAGGAGTGTGCTCAAAAAGCAAAACAAACAAAATAAATAGAAAAGTATAAAGGCCTTACTTTGTATGCAGTTAAAATCAGCTGCAGTATGTTTCGGGAGTCTTCTTGCAGCCGTCCAACAGTGGCTCCAGGTATGAGCTTGGTGTAATTCTGCAATAAATAATGAACACCAACGTGTTACAATTGTAGCCCATAGGAGCGCATGGAAGGCCTTCTACAACTTATCTGACCGATGTGTAGACTTGAGCTTTTCCCACTGGGATTATAGGAATGCACTTCTACAGTCCACAGAATGTTTTCCTGTGTGACAGAAATGAGTTCTCATACTGTGCTGAAGTGGTATTTTTCCTCCAGAAAATAAGGTTGTTTGGAAAGGACATCTGCATTATTTATTTATTGTGTAGTTGCCACGTAAAGTAAACACCAGGCAGATAAAAAAAAACATGTTTTCTACCTATTAAGAAGAGATATATATATA